AAAAAAAAAAACCTGCAGCCAGTGGTCATTTCAAAATCTTTTTATGTTCAGATACTGAGCCTTCGTAAGGGTTGACTACCTCAGATTTGCTGCACTCATTGTGAACTTCATGTGGATCACAACTTCTGGATAAGAAGGTTTCAGCTTATAAGTGTCGGTGTGAAACTTGAAACCAGCTCTATTGGATTCCTATCAGAAATCCTGCAGAAAGTCAGCCATCTGGGTTCTGATCTGCTGTAAAAGATGAAGATTTAAGTGACCTTAATTAACCTGTCCTGTGCCCCTTAAGGAATACTCTCTGTAGTAGGCTGTGGCTGTATTAGAGTTCCTGGAATATGCCACTCTCAAAAGAACCGATGTGTTCAAATAATCTATGTAGGGCTGTGATTTATCATTTAAACTTTGAGTTGTATTCTGAGGTAACCACAAATTCAACCAAACTTGGGTCCACTGAGGGGCGGGGGGAGGGAATAATCTTGTTTCTTCTAGTAATTTTTTATTTGGATGGTAGTGTTTTTTTCCGTGTTCCACATTAAGGCCTTTTTTTTTTTTTTTTTGCTTTGACTTGGAATAAGTTCTTTGACAGAGCATATTGCTTGGTTAAGTAAGTAACCTGAAATATGCATTAGAATTGTGAGGTGTCTCGTGAATTTGCCAATCCCTAGAGTGGAACCAAATAGCCTTTGGTGTAAAGGGCAGTGGATGCAGGGGGGCTCTACTTCAGGTGCTGCTAAAGCCTCCTCGAAATCAGGTCTAAATTGTAAACTGCAGTAGAAAGAGTATATAGTTCCTGCTCAGGCCAAGGGATTCACTGACCTGTCCTTATAAATTCAGAGCAACGTGAGCAGAATCTCAACCTAAAACCCACTTAAGTTTCGTGGATCTTGCATGAACTTTGACAATTCCAGATACACTTGTGCCCAAACGTTTAAGGTATTGGACTTTCTATAAATGCGATAATTGTCCCAGCTTAGCTCTGTTATCAGCCTTCCGATGTGTCTTTACATTGTTCATTTGGAGAGTCAAGGGCGAAAGACAGGTGATGTAGCACTTCTGTTTTTAATAATTACAGCTTAAACTATTCAGTAATTTTTAGTCCTTAAAAGGGACTTCAGAAAGATACCCAGGATTGCTGAAAAGTGTCTTTCCATCTAATGAGATAGTCTGGCAATTTCCTAGTTTTGTATCTTTGGTTCAATAGAAATATTTCAAAGTGGTATGTGACCACTTGATGCAGAGTCTGGGTGTCTCTATAATAAATCCCTTTGCCAAATGGCAGGAGTTGCAGACTTGCTACTGGCAAGAGTGAAGCAAATGGGTGAGTAAAACTATCCTATCCTATGGGAACTTAGTTTTGATGAAAGTGTTAATACAGGAATTGGACTCCTAGTGGGGTTTGCAGTATCTCCTGACAGGACCTGCCAACCATTTCTGGGCAATAATGGCGTTACTTGAGGTGGCAGGCAGGATGCCTGCCTTCTGATGTATTTGGGTGAGTTGCTGAGCAAGCCAAGGAGAGGTTGGATGATTAAGCAAGAAGCAAGAGATTCTTGGTTAAACTGAAGACTTCATTTGGGAACCAAAAATCTTAACAAATCTCTTATACCTTGAGCCACATATTTTCCCTGAAAAGTATGCATTTTTTTTCCAACAATTTTGTTGGAGGTTATGTTATTGAGTAATGAACTGAGATGGGTATGTGGAACTTATTTAATGGCATACTGTACAAGAAATCTGAAGACCTGCAGGAGATTTAAAACCAACTCTTGTTATAACTTTTTAAAAGATTGTGAAATTATCAAAATGCACATGAATCAAGTTTTAATATACTGTATGATGGGTGGGTGAGGCTGTCCATTGTACCATTTCTTTCTTTGAATTCTCAGGCATGGTTTGGCAGTGCAAGAACTCTGTAACATTAACAAATTCAATAAAAAGTAAATATATGGATTTTGGAGTCTGGCAGTTTTTATTCTTAACCCTTGACCTGTCCTCTGTCTTTGAAAATGGTGAATTGATGTCATGCCTCCTTTGCGCATAGGAGGATAGTATTCTCATCTGAGGCATGAACTTTCTGTTTGAGAAATATTTGCAGAGTATTCTGAATGTTAAAAAAGAGACCTGGAATGAAAGTGGCTGCAAAGCTATAATGAATGTTCCTTTCCAAAGATAAAGCATTGACTTGTACTTTTTTCTTGGTTATTAAATTTTATCTTAAACCCTGGCAAGGAAATCTGCGATCTTCACTTACATAGACTAAAGATCTGAGGGATTGTCCTTTAAGAAGCTTATAAATTTCTCAAATGAGCAACCATTTTAAATTTCAGAATTTAGTCTGGATCATAGTTTCTACATTTCTAAACTAGAGAAAATATATTTCAAGTTTTTTTTTTGGTAATATAGTTTAAATGTTTAATGTTTACTATTAGATTATTTGTATTTGATTTTTTTTTAACAACCCTATTTAAAATGAAACACAAAAATTCACACTCCCTGTCATTCTCCCTTCTCTCGTTTAAGTTCCTCACTTTTTTTTCTTTAAGTGAGTTTATTTGAGCAAACTGACAATGCTGGGAAAATCTCGAATGTTTCCCCCATAGTTTTTTTAACCATCTTTTTTTTTTTTTTTGAGATAAACCCCTTCAAAAGTGTACAATTAAGTATTGTATCAGTTCTCATTTTTACTGCGAAACAGTCAATTGGATATACTACATTTCATTTATCACTTTGAACTGTTTCCACTGTCCTTGTTATGAATAATGCGGTTATGAATTTTCATGTATAAGTTTGTGTCAGTATGTTTTCAGTTCTCTTGGAATGCATCTAGGTGTGAAATTGCTGGGTCATATAGTAATTTTTTGAGTAACTGCCAAACTCTTCCAAAGTGGCTATAGCACATTACGTACATTGTTACCAACAATGTCAGGATTACAGCTATTCCATATTCTCATAATTACTTGTTACCTGATTTTAATTCTAGTCATTCTGGTTAAAATAGTATCTCATTTTGATTTGCATTTCTGTACTAGCCAATGATGAACGTCTTTTCATGTGTTTATAGGTCAATTTTGTCTTTCAGAAAATGTCTTCAACTCCTTTGCTGAATTTTTAATTGAACTTTTGTCTTTATTATTGAGTCATAAGTATTCTTTATATATTCTCGATATTAGTCCCTCATCACGTGCATGATAATGCAAATGTTTTCTCCTATCTTCATTTTAATAGTGTCTCTTGAAGCACAAGTTTTTCATGTTTTATGTAGCCCATTTTATTTTTTTCAGTTGCTTGTGCTTTTGGTGTATCTAAGAAGTCATTAGATACACCAAAGACCCTAGACATCTGTGTTTAGCTTCCATTTAGATCTATGATCCGTGTTTCAGTTAATTTTTGAATGTAGTGTGAGGTAGGAGTCTTCATTATTCTACATGGGGACATATATCCAGTTGTCTGCACCGTTTCTTGAAAAGACTCCATTCTGCACACTGAACATTTCACTTGTTTATTCTCCTAGAATGAAATTGGTTTGGCTAGAAACACATAGGAAGGGATGTCAGGAGTTTGGGAAGGTGGGTGGGATAGGAATTGGAGAGAAAAGGCTGAGTGTGGAGTGGAGACCAGTTAATGGGGTAATCACCTAGGAAGCGGAATCAAGAAAGTAGAGAATCATTTAGACATTCTAATAACTAGGGGCCTGAAATTGTAGGTTTACAATGGCTTTAATTCCTCAGCTAGCTACTGTAACTAGGTATTTATGGGGCCTGCAGAATGCAGGCAAGTTATGAATTGCTTTTCTTGAGTTTGATATAAAGATAATGGATATTATGAAGGATATAGTAACAAAAGTAACTTTTAAATCATTTTTATTATTAAAAATAAATGAGAAGAATTACGTTCACGTCAAGGATTTAGGATATACACGTAAATAACCATTAAGGTAGTTTAAGCCTTTTGAAATTGTTGCCCAAGTGAGAACTAGAATTCTAAATAACTGGATGTAGTAACAAGCTGAGTACAACTTGTCTACTCATTTCACCTGTGAATACCCTCCCCACTGAACACCCTCCCCCAACCGAACTTTACAGCGATACAGTCCCCATGCAACTAGAAACTTGCAAAGAGAAGATCCTTTCTCTCCATTTATGATGGAAAATAGTGTGAAAGTGTGAGGGAAACAGCATCCATTGTTTTGTCATTAGACTTGGGCAGACAGCTTTAGTGTCAGGTGAGAAGTTGAGTTAACGACCAAGCAGGAGGCAGTCATTTTCTCACTAAAAGTAAATTTAGTGGAAATGACTTCGAAAGTTTATTGCTGGTATTTAGTGTGATGTTCTACATCTTGCCCTGACATTTTAGGAAGCATGGTCTTCTATGACAAGTTTTTGTTTTTCTTTAGACCTGAGCAGTTTTTGACCCCAAGTTTTCTATCTTAAACCAGTGTTTCTTAAACCAGTGTATTTTACCTTTTCTTACCTTGTTATGAAAAAGTATCTAGAAATAATTTTCTATATCTCTTAACTCTTATTGGATGATTTTACCTTCCCTCCCCCCAAAAAACTTTAATTTTTTAAATCTTTTTTTGTGCAGGGAGGCTAGATGTACAAAATAAACTATTGTTTTGAATATTAGCATATGAAAACTCAAAACGTTACCCCAGGACAGAAACTTTGTGTTCTTCCTTTTTATATCCAAAGTTTAGGCAATCTGTCATCCCTGGTAAAGACTTTTTGCTAAAGTTTTTATGCTGCATGAGCTGTTTTCTTCCTAAGAAGTGGGATGACTCTACAGGTTATTTTCCGTAGTTCTCAAAACAGCTGCATTTGATACAACCTGGAGATGTTTTTAAAAATGCTGACATCTGACTCCTGACCCCAGACATTCTAATTTAATTGGTATGGGGTATGACCTGCACCCAGAAATTTAAAAAAAATTCCCCAGTTCTAATGTGCAGCATTTCTAAAGCCACTGGGTTATGTCAAAATAAGAGATAGTATGGCTTCCTAGTAAGAAGTTAAAAGCAGTCGTATTTTAAATGCATGTTTGAATACTGTTAAATGGGGGAAATGGATAGTGAGGGTGCAGGGGAGACCTGTAAGCTGAAATACTAAAGAGTTATTTTGATTTTTATGTAAACCTTTTTAGAGTTCAGTATTACCAGTATAGGGACCATTTTTAATATTTCCTGTCATTTCTTAAGACAATTACCTCACCATCAATACAATGCCCTAGCTACTTTATTTTCCTTCTCTCTACAGTAATTTTGTTGTTTGACTTATATCTTGCCAATAAGTCTAACCAGAATTTACACACGGTAAATGTTAATTGCTTTACACTACCCCAGCTTCTAATTTGCCCTTCCGTTATGTAGCCCAGTTACAACACCTCTGGGTTTTCAGGATTTCTTTAGAATTCTGCAGTTCTCCCTGGTGACTATGGAATGAACCATAATTAACTTTACCAGAGATGAGCTCAGCAACTGCAGAACCCTACAGTTCATCTCCTTGGGAATGGGAACTTCAGATGCTTGCATCACCTGCTATCTTAGACTGTGGGTCATTTCCCGCACCAGCTGCTACCTGTTAAGGGTCATATGGGTTTCACTTAAGCATCCTTTGTAACAGGCATGCAGAGGAATCCTCAGACTTGTCTTTGGCTTTAACTTGCTGGGACTATTGTGGTTTTCTTCCTGGGTTTCTCTGGTTTTACAGTTCAAATTTGTGCCTTTAATTAGAAACTGAATTAAACTTGGAGGTCAGGAATTCCCATCCTCAGTGACGCCATGGTAATGGGGTTGAAAGCAGGTTGCAAGCTTCCATTATATTCTTTGTTCTTCCTGACATTCCCTTCTTCCTTCTCTCTCTTTTTTTAAACCTTAGCTCCAGGCTGGCAAGAGCGTTAAGTAGCAAATCATTTGTTGGAATTTTTAAAATTAACCTTGGGCCAGGCACTCTTCTAAACGAGTAGCAAATGTTATTCGTTTAACCCCTGGCAGTCCCTTAAAGATGGGAAAATAGGCTCTGAAAGGTTAAGTGTCTTGCCTAAATCACAGCTAGTAATGAAGGAGCCAGGATTTCACCCCAGGTGTTTTTGTTCCAGCTCGTTCTTAAGCATGAGGCTTTGCTTCCACTCCTCTTGCTAGATTAAGACGAGAGAAGGAAAGTAGGAAACAAACTATTCTTCAAATTTAACTTGAAGGAGCCCTTTGCCACATTCCCATCCCAGTCGGCATGGATGCCCTAAAGACTGGCTTCTTCGCCACCTCTCTCCCCAAGCAGCAGAACGTAAAGCTCCTAATGTTAGGTGAGTTGTTTGTACTATCCCTTCTTTAACGGCTGAAGGTGGGATTTTTTTTATTTTTGGATGTTTTATGATGAAAAATTTCAAATACAAAGAATAGTATAAATGTCCTTGAACCTATAACTCAAATTCAACAGTCATCAGTTTGTGGCCATTTTATTTTACCTCCCTATTTTCTTGGTTATTTAAAAAGCTAATCCCAGACCTATTTCATCATTAAACATTTCACCCAGGGATAAAGACTCAACCGTATAGAGTTATACCTAAACTAACATTTTCTTAATATCAGATATCCTGTTCGTGTTCAGATTTCTCTGATTTTTCAAGGTGCTTTACAGCTGGTTGGTTTGAAGCAGAATCCAGACACGGGTGACCCGTTGTATTTGGTCTTTTAAGTCTCCAGTAATTCCCCCACTTTATCCTTACTATTTAGTTATTGGAGAAACTGGTCATTTGGCTCATAGAATTTTCCATATTCTGAATTTAGCAGATTGTTTTCATACATTTTCTATAAATGAGTAGTGTGCCAGTTATTAATTTACTGCTCTTTGCCCTGCTTGTGGTTCA